GAGAAATCATATGGTATTTATCTCTTATTTCACTGAGCGTAATACCTTCTAGGTTCATCCATGCTGTCGCAAGTGGTAAGATTTCATTATTTTTTTTAATCCTCACCCAAGGATATATATATATATATGTTTTGAGTTTTTTAGATAGAGTGGAGGGAGGGAGAGAAATATCCATGTGAGAAAGACACATCAATTGGTTGCCTCCCACATGACCCCGGCCGGGGCCAAGAATCGAACCTGAGATTTTCTAAGCCTCAGGCCAGACCAGCCAGGGCAGATTTCATTCCTTTTTATGCCCAAGTAAGATTCTGTTGTATATATATACTACAGCTTTTTTTATCCACTCGTCTATTGATGGACCACACTTCCAGAGATTGACTATTGTAAATAATGCTGCAGTGAACACAGGGGTGAATATATTCTTTCAAATCAGTGTTTTGGATGTCTTCAAAATCCCCAGAAGTAGAAACACTGGGTCATGAGGCAGGTCCATTTTTAATATTTTGAGTAAAGTCAGTACTGTTTTCCATAGTGGCTGCACCAATGTGCATTCCCAGCAAGAGTGCAGGAGAGTCCCCTTCTCTCCACGTCCTCACCAGCACTTGTTTGTGCATTTATTGATGATAGCCATTCTGGCAGGTGTGAGGTGATGCTTATTGTGATTTAATTTGCATCCGAATTCACAAATCTTTAAGGTAACCCAGTGCACAATACCATATGGGGTACAGCATAATGTATGATTACTCACCTTAAATGGAATAAACAACTAATAATAAATAACCTCTCAGCTCAGGTCAGATTTTGAAACCAAATATGTGTGAGTTAGGTCAGACGTTGCTACCCAAACTTTATGAAAAAACTTTCAGTTTTCAGTACTCTTAAGACCCCACATTACAGATAAGGGTTATGAGCCCACGTCACCACTCAGAGATTTTCTTTTGTTTATTCCCAGTCTCCATAAAAGGCAGGGTCTCTGCTTTCCTCTAACTCATTTCTTCATATTGTTTTCCTAGGTGAAATGCTAGGCCACACAGATTACAGGAAGGACCCAGAAAGGTATTTCAGGTCCAGTCAAGTTAAATATTCACTTGTCACAGACAGAGACCTGAACTACATTGTTCTTATAATTATTGTCTTATTCAAGAAGTACAGATTCCTAGGGGTATGTAAGGAAAAATAAGGCTTTCTTGCACCCCAGCCTCTCAGCTGGCCAAATAAGTACCCTCCTTGGATATAACCACTACTAGTGTCCTGTGTGTCCTTTCGGGGACAATTATGCACGTTCAGTCTTAGCCGTGTCTGCAATTGTGTGTCCTGTGGACCTGCCTCAAACCAGAATGCATTTTATAAGTTCACTAGTGAATTGATATTTGGGTTATTTCCAGTCCTGTGTGATTGCAAACAAATATTTCTGTACATATCATTTATACACATGTAAGGATCTCTGTAGGATAAATCCCTAGAAACGCAATTGTAGGTAAGTTCATTATAAATTTTGATAGAATTGCTGAATTGCTTCAGTAGTGTTGTACAACTTATGTTCCCACTTACGATATTTGAAAGAGCCTGTTTTCTTACACCTTTAAGAGTGTAATCGAAAGCTAAATTCTTTGCCAGTCCGAAAGGTGAAAGTGGTACCTTGTAGTTACAATGAGCATTTCTTTTATTATGAGTGAAGTTTTATATTTGAGTCATTAGTATTTCTACTAACTCTTATCCTGTCTTTGGTCCATTTTTCCCTAAATAGTTGGTCTTTTAATTTTTTATTTATAATTGCTCTTTACCTTAAGTAGCCCTTTTTGTAATATGTCACAAATATTTTCCCAGCTTATCTTTTGTCTTTTGACTTTGGTTTTATCCATGCAGAAAAATTTCCCATACAAGTGATTTTTCACGTTCTTTTCATTTGGTTCTACTTTTGATTTGTCTTTAATCATTTCTGCATTCATCTTGTAGCAGTTTGTTATGATAGCTTTAATGGCACATTTACCCAGAGTTCTTTCTGATCCTTTTATCTAAACCCTTTCCCTGCCTGCCTCCTGCTTCCTAACAATAACAAAAACTAATAATAGAATAGCTTCCATTTACTGGACACTTATTATATACCAAGCATAGTGCTAAACACTTCACATACATTATCGTAATTCCTCAGAAAGACAGACATTGTTTTTATCTCCATTTTACAGATTAAACAACTGAAGCTTGGAATCATAAAGCAACCTGCCCAAGATCACAAAGTTAGAAATTGCTAGAACCAGAAATGAAGATTCCCAAATCCTTCCATAGCTATTCACTTTGTTACTACCTATTTCTCGCTGGTGTAAATAGGTGTACATGTGAATATAGCCCATTGGATGGTTCTACTTTTCTGATAGTGTCTAGTTACAGTTTAAATTATAATAATTTATCAGAGTAACGGCTTCATCAGCTGAGTCCACCTTTTAAAGCCCCACAACCATAGATGATATTGCCATCATAGATCTGGAGGTTGGAACCACAGAACTGGTGTAGAGATAGGAGTCAAACTCTCGATCCAACAGAGTTTCTGTTTAACTGGCTCTGTAGAACTAATAGCATTGACAAGGGAGAGAGGACTTACAGGAACTCTATCTTCTCCAATCCCTGTGCCAGAATGATGCCTGGGCTCCCCACACCTTGCTCATAGACTGTGGGGACTGCTTGGCATGGATATAAGGAAAAAAAGTACTGATAACATGGGATCACTGATAGATATCTGAATTCAGTATCTCTGAAAGGAGGGCAGATACTAGATCTTTGTGAACCTGGCTGGTTTGTAGCATGGTAAAAGCAAACCTAATTTGAGCTATTTTATCTGATATTTTTTAAAACCACTCTGTCTTCCCATTTTATTTCTGTTCATTGAAGCATGTTATGTTGACATTATCTTTGTGAATGTAGTAGGAAGGAAGTTCAAGAAAAGCATTCTGTAAAGGAAATGTTTTCAAGCAAATTGTCCTTAAATCAACACTAATTGCCAAATACTGATTTTTTCCCCCTTAAGATAACAGAACAGGAATGCTAAATACAAAATTTAGCTAGGGTAAGATAATAAAAGCTATGGGGATCCTTTTAAATTAGAGCAATGGCACATCCATAAAGCAGAACCCTGCTGCAGTTTATAGGAATTAGGTAGATCTATATGCACGAGTGTGAAACAATCCCCAAAACATTCTGTTAAGTGAAAAAGCGGATCGTAGATCAGTACATAAGCATAGCTCAATTTAAGTTTTTAAATACACGTGTGTTTATTTGTATATGCACATGCATGCATGTAATTATACAAAAAAAAAAAAAGATTTGGAAGCATATATACTAAACTGTTTACAGGGAAGGGTAATGGGATTTGCATTTGGTTGAATGATAGGGTGTTGAGAAGACTTTCATTTTTCTTTTATAATTCTATGTTCAATTTTTATAATGGAGACATATTCTTATATTATTTGAACAATTTAAAATTTTTAAAGAAAATAATTGTGACAACGTAGTTTCATTCATTATTTACTGAAGACTTGACATTAAGGATACAGTGGTTTCTGCTCTCATATTGCTTCCAGTGTAATGAGGGAGGAAGATATTAAACAAGTAAATCCACATAAATAAGTAATTACAAATTGTGATAAATGCCATAAAGTAAATGAGAAGAAAAATAACTGGGGCAATCTAATTTAGATAATGGGGTTAAGGAAGGCTTTTTTGAAGTAGTGATATTTCAGTTGATATCTAGTAGGATGAAGAATAGTTATCCAAGCCCCAAAGGCAAGGGAAGTAAAAGCAAAATTAATGAGTGGGACTATGTCATACTAAGAAGCTTCTACACAGAAAAGGAAACCTTCCACAGAAACAAAGAGGCAGCCAACCTAATGGGAGAAAATATTGCAAACAACACATCCACTAAGAGGCTAATATCCAAAATATATAAAGAACTTATACAACTCAACAACAACAAAAACAAACAAACAGCCCAATAAAAAAATGGGCAGAGGACCTTAACAGATACTTTTCCAATGAAGACATACAGATGGCCAACAGATATATGAAAAAATTCTCAATATCACTAACTATAAGGGAAATGCAGATCAAAACCACAGTGAGATACCACCTCATATCTGCTAGAATGGCTATGAATAATAAGACAGGAAACACAAGTGCTGGAGAAGAGGTGGAGCCCCAGGAGCCCTTGTATACAGCTGAAGGGAATGTAAATTGGTGCAGCCACTATGGAAAAAGTATGGAGTTTCCTCAAAAAAGTTGAAAACACTTATTTGTAAAGATATGTGTACCCTTCTATTCATTACAGCATTACTTATAGTAGCCAAGACATAACCAAATGTCCTTCAACAGATGATTGGCTAAGGAAGGTGTGGTACATATATACAATGGAATACCACTCAGCCATAAAAAAGATGAAATATTACCATTTGCGACAACATGGGTGGATCTTGGGAGTATTATGCTAAGTGAAATAAATCATAATGAAAAGAACAAGTACCATATGGTTTCACTCATGTGGGATATAAAACAAAAAGCAACAAATGAACAAAACAAAAAAAGAAACACACTCATAGACACAGACTACAGAATGGTGGTTACCAGGGGGAGAGGGGGATGGGGATAGGATGAAGAGGGTAAAGGGGGCCAAATATATGGTGACAGAAGGAGACTAGACTTCCAGTGGTGAGCACAAAATGTGTACAGATGTACTATAAAGTTGTACACCTGAAATCTATATAATGTTACTACCCAGTGTTCTCCCGATAAATTTAATACAAATTTAAGAATGTTAGAAGTGAGCAGAAGAGAAGAATTTATGGGTGGACGGCTTTCTGGTGTTTACCTTCCCTAAAGTTCCCCTAGGAGACCCTCTTGTACATGATGTGATTGTGATCCCATTTCTGCCCTGGGCAGCCCATCTCTAGGCTCCTCGGGTTCTGATGTTGTACTGGTCTGATTACTTTCTGTCTGGCTTGTGTGTGTTGCAGGTATGAGACATCTTTGTTGGATTTGGTTCAATCTCTGAGCCCAAAGTCTGCTTCTAAACCTCAGCCCCATCCCTCCAGAGAAGCTGGGGTCTGGAACCACAGGACTTGCCGACTCAGTTCCCTAAAATCAGCCCGGAAGAAGACAAGAGCAGGTGGGACCCCTGAAGACCTGGAGGAGGATCAAATTCTGGAAGATATATTTTTCATTTGACACGAAAACACTTGATGCGAAATTTCCATCGGAACTTTGTGGGTTTCTTAATATACTGATCTAGGATTTAAAATTTTTAATTGCAAGTATTGTGTCTTTCCTTTCACAGGGCCCTGTCTCACTAGCATTCTGTTATATATCGAATATAGAAATGATCCTAACAACCCAGGGTGTTTTTATCAGACTAATCAGTGCTAACACGTGGTGGGGATGAGGGCGGTCTCTTTCCTACACCAAGCAGAGATGAGAAAATCCACATGGCGGGGGCCTTGTTTCATGAGTGTTGCCTTCTCAATATTTTGCTGGAAAAAGTTGGCTGTCTCTTGTACACAAGGAAAACCTATCTACTGAAAGATCCCTCCAATTTAAAAGTAGCCCCTTGTAAAATAAGCAATTTCAGAAAGACCTTTTTATCTCTCCAATCTAGTCTCTCACTACCTACCCTTATCTAAGTGTAGTCATTTAGTTCTGAAGTTGGTGCCCGTTACCGCAAGCAACACTGAAGGCCAAGTGTGAGTCAGACTCGGTAGTCACCAGCCTGGCAGCTGCTCGGCCCATAACCATAAGGTTTCGTGGGCTAGAGGAGGGACCCCCCATCCCTTGGAAATGGGCATTAAATCACAGAAGGGTCACTGCACTGGTGGAGGCAGGAGCCTGAAATGCGTTTCCTACCACCCACCAACTTCTCCAGATAGATAAGAGCAATCTCTCAGTATTTTTGTTGACCTACATGTCCATTTTATTCACCCTTGTGAACTTCCCACCATGTGTCTGGAGAAGATGCCACTAGAGGGTGGTAGCCTCAGCTGAGGGCTGATGGACTTTCTCTGGTCCTCCCTGTCTTCCCACCAGGATCCAAGCCCTGTGTTGCCCAGGCCCTGCATATTGTCCAGGGCTATTGTCCCATGCCTCCAAAAACCCTCTCTACTTGCCCAGTTATGGTTGTCTACCCCAAGCAGAGCCTCCCACTTCCCACTGGGCCTCCTGACCCAGGGAAAGCGTGTGGAAGGAGTGCACTGAGCTCTCCTGTCCAGCAGAGATCTTGAGCTTGGTCCTTCAGCTTACAGTGGCTCTAGTGGCCTCTCAGGCTGCTGGGTGTGTGGGGACCTCACAGAACCGCTGAGCTGAACACTTTCCAGTTGTTGCAGCAAGGGGAAGATGTATCGCTAGATATGAACTGCCTCTGACTATTTGATCTGGATGGCGTTGCTTTTCTCTCTCCCTCTCAACAACTCCAGGTTTGAACTAGGACCAAGTCTGTCATTCGCCAAAGTCAGCACCCAGGGCAGCCGGCACTTAGTAAGCCTGCGTGGCTTCCCTGAATTCTTTATCAAAACGAGGGGATTTCAGCCTAAAAAGCCTTGTTGAGCCGCTTCCTTGTCTGGATGGAGCTAAATCATCATCTCTTAGGCAGAGGCCCTGTCGCCTCTACCCAGGCTTCCTCCCCTTGGGTCTGATCTTTGGAGAAGAGTGGAGCCTACCAATGCCATATCCTTCATCCAGGGGAAATAAAAGGTCAGGGCTAACTAGCAGCCATTCACCTGAAAAGTGGAGCAGCCATTGCAGATCAGTGTCCTTTGAAAGTCTGCCACCGTGAGAGCCACTGAATCCGTTTCATCCTGCTTCAGAAAGCCTTTGGAAATGAACGTTTCTTTGGTGTGGCAGAATGGGTGGCCATTTTCTCAGTTACAGCTAGGCATCCAGAACCACAGTGTCCTCGCTCCAGGTGTCACGACCACCTTACGTCCACCCGGCTCCCTGGGATCATCCAGACCACGCTCTGCCGTTCGGGACCCAGCGCCCTCACTGCCCTCCGGGGTCAGGATGCCAGGGGACCCGACAGAGAACGGCCATTTCTTTAAGGAGCTCGTTCGCCTTTAGAAGGATCCTAAGCTGGATCTAAACTAAAAGTTTTCGGGGGTCACATGCCACAGAATGGAGTTTAATTGTTTCTTTACCTCCCCTGAGTGAGCAATTGGGAGGAGCGAAGATGAATTAGCAGAGCATCAGTCCACATGTTTCTCGTGCCACTTTCCCCACCATTTGCCGTTCTCTGTCCTGTAGGCGTGTCCTGGTGTCAATCGGATGTGAATTTGTACCTAATCTAATGTTTCATTATGAATTGAACAGTATATGCTAACATTTTCATCTGTGTCTTACTTTGAGATAGTGTGTGTGTGTGTGTGTGTGTGTGAGAGAGAGAGAGAGAGAGAGACAGAGAGAGAGAGAGAGAGAGGTGGTAGAGCCTGGAGGGGGGGTTGGTAGAGCCTGGAGGCTTAGCCTAATTGCAGAGGAACCTGCCCTACTGAGAGAGGGTCTGGCACACAGGAACCTGCCTTTCCTCCCAGCCCCCAGCTGCTTCCCCAGAACAAGCCCACACACTGGAGTGCTGCAGGCAGTGCCGCCCCGCGCCCCGCCCGCTGCCCGCGTTCTGCCAGAGAGAAACCAGTCAGTGTCTGCAAAATGGGAGAGGACAAGGTGTGTCTATTGAAGCTCCCTGAGTCATGCCCGAAGGGCTTTATTTAGGAAACCAAGGCTAATCAAGGATACGCTTCTGCCAGCAGCCGCCCTTCCAGGAGGCACACTTGTGTTTCTCCAAGGTTGGCCCCATGGTGGGGACTTACCTAGGGCACCCATGTGTCGTGGGGGAGGGGCTCTCCTCCTTTGGAGCTGCTCTTCACTTGGCCCCTTCCCGCTGGTCAGGGACTCGGGAGGGGACGGGCCTAGGGAGCAGAGCGGATGAGCCCAGCATTGAGGAGCTGGAGGCCGTGCACGCTCCTCCCACTCATGCCTTGTGCCCCACCCTGTGCGGCTGTCTGTATATACGTGTGAGATTTTAAGTCAGCACATGGCCTCCATGGCTGTGTTCCCCATGTGGTTTTGATATTGAATTGTCCCTCGAACATCCCTCATCAGATCAGTGGACACAGCTTGAAAGTAAGCAGAGCCCAGGTTTTCCGAATGTCATTTCCCTTAGTACTTGTTAAAACAACAGGGCTGGTGATCCGCTGGAAGGAAGGAAATGGTTTACCACGTCCTAATAGGTTCTCCTGGTCCACTCCAGCTCACTCCCGTCACATGGACACCAAGCCTCTGCTAGTGTGTGCTGGTTGGCATGGAAGCTGCCATCTGTGTGCACCTCTGAGCCCCTTGCGTGTGCCTATCCCCAGAACTGCTCAGCAGGATGAACTGTCTCAGCTCTTCCAGACAGGAAAACATGGCCCTGCCTGGTGGGCGTTAGGCGTTGGGAGCACGTAGGCTGGAACACCCAGTTGTGAGGTTCAGCTGTGGATTCAACTAAGGTAGCCAGAGCCCCTGTCCTGCCCGCTGCTCCAGGTCAGCCTGGCACCTTCACCTGAATAAGGAGACCTTGCAGGGGCAGAGGGCAAGAATAGAACCATCACGCAACAGCTCCCAAACTGAAAATGAAATAAGTAAAGTTTGTCCCCAATTGTCATAAGGTTACCCTGAGTCTAGGATCGAAGCTGGAGATGCGTGGGGTGAGTGACACCCCAGTCCTCAGAGGAAGAGTTACTGGTCGCTGGGTTTCTCAGTCACTGTTCCAGGTGGGCTGTTCCTGAGCCCCCAGGGTTCCGTTGTCCGTTCAGAAGTGGGACCTTCTAGCCCCGGGCTCCAGCTTCACAGCATGTTTGCCCCCTGCCCTCCTCCAACACTCGGAACTGAGCGGTCACCAGAGAACGCCCAGGGCTTGTCTACCCCCACCCCTACCAGAGACATTCTACGGATGGGTTGGACCTTGTAACCCATCACTTTCCTCATACAGATGAAGAAAGTTCAGGAGCAAGCGGCTGGTCCGAGCTCCCACGTCCTGCCAGTGGCCGGTCTGGCCGCCAGGCTGGACCCTCCCCGCTGCAGCACGTCGCTGCCTCGGCTGCGGCTCCGTGATGTTTAGAATCGGCTACTTCTGAGCATCTCAGAAGTGAGCCCTCACAGGCCACCCGGGCCAAGGTAGCAGAAACGTAACTTGTCCACTCCTTGGGGGGCTTGTAGGTTGATAACCCTCGGGGTGAGTGCCTCCATCTGAATGTCTTTCAGTCCGTGTGTGGAGGCCATTATCCCCGGGAAGAAGACAAATCTCTCCAGGTAGCATGGATGGGACCATCTTCTCCAATAACAGGTTGTAACAGCCCTAGTGAAGACCTCTCCTGAATAGCAGTTGCCAAAATGAGGGTGCGGCCTGTCCTGGGTGGTGGACCGGTAGGTACACTCGTAAAGCCAGTAGGTCGGTACTCAGGAGTCCAGGAGGAATGACCTGTGTCAGGATCTTCACAGGATCGTGTCGTCGGTTTGGCTTCTATGGCCCAGGATGCCCTCCAGCTCTTTCCCAAACGGTCCCCTTACAGGTACCCTGGTGGTCACAGACAGGTGTCTTCGTTTCTCTCGGTAGACACCTAGGAGTAGATTTGCTGGCCGTGTGCTAACTTTACATTTAACTTAGTGAGGAACTACGAGACTGTTTTCTAAAGCAGCTTAGCCAGTTTACACTCTCACAGCAGAGTATGAAGGCTCATGAACACTCCTCACTGCTCCTAAAACTCTCCCTTCTACTATCATCATTGCCACTGCTGGGGTCAGCACCTCGTCAACTCTCCCTGCTCTGCTCTGCTCGGCTTGCAACTCAACTCCTGGCCGTCTCCCAGAGACAGGCTGCTCTTCCCTGCCCCTGCGACTTCCACGTCCCTCCCTTCAGACGGATCTGCTTCCCTGTGCCCCGGTGTTCCCGGGCATCGGGTCCCTGTGCCCCGGTGTTCCCGGGCATCGGATCCCTGTGCCCCGGTGTGCCCGGGCATCGGGTCCCTGTGCCCCGGTGTTCCTGGGCATCGCATCTGCTTCCCTGTGCCCCGGTGTGCCCGGGCATCGATAGCTGCGCTTCCCTCGGCTCCAGCAGGGCTCCCGCCTCTGCTCAGCCCACCTCGGGCGGTGCTGCGTTGTTCTGCGCCGTCTGTGTGTCCAAGCAGCATCCGCCCAGCCTTGCCGCT